GCACCCCGGGGGCCCCCGAAGCAGCAGCAGCAGCAGCAAGGGTACCGTTCGATGAGAAGACAGCGCAGCGAACTGTGGCAGACAGGGGCACTGCAGCTTCTGGTGGCCCCCCACTTGCTGTCTCTTGCTGCTGCTGCTGCTGCTGCTGCTGCTGCTGCTGTCTCCTTTCTGCAGCACCGTCCCCACACAGGGAGAAGGGCATCTCCAGCCCCGCAGCACCCGCAGCAAGCGCAGCCTGGGGGCCCCCACCAAAGGAGACACCAGAAAAAATAGGAGACAGGGCCCCCACAGCTGCTGTCGCTGGGCGGGGTGCTGCTGGGTTGGGGGGCCCCTGAGGGGGCCCCTTCGGGGGCCCCTTTGGGGGGCCCCCCAACACCCTCGGTAAACAACTGTCTCCTCCTGCAGGAGACAGTTGTTTACCAAGTACATGTGAAGGCTGTCTTGTGCAGCTGGCTCCATGCTCGAGCTGCTGCTGCTGCTGCTGCTGTTGCTGCTGCTGCTGCTGCTGCTGCTGCTGCTGCTGGACCGCGCCCTCTGTGTGGCTGTCAGCCCCCCTGGGGGGCCCCCCAATAGACATTTTGTCTGTGCTGCAGGCGGCGGAGACAACCCCCAACCGAGTGTCTCCTCTTAACCCCCTTGCATATCTTGGGGGGCCCCCGGGGGCCCCCAGCTGAGAGCCTTCAGGGGGGCCCCGCATCGAGAAGGGGAAGAGGACGTGCCCTGCTCCGCTCCGTCTCCTGCTGCTGTTGCTGCTGCTGTTGCTGCTGCTGTTGCTGCTGCTGTTGCTGCTGGTGTTGCTGCTAATGCTAATGCTTCGGCAAAGGTACTTGCTGCTGCGGATGCTGCTGCTGCTGTTGCTGCTGCCACTGTCGCTATGGTTGCTGCTGCTGCTGTCGCTGCAGCGGTACTTGCTCCTCCTGCTGCGGCGGCTGCTGTTCCTGCTGCTGCTGCTGCTGCTGCTGCTGCTGCTGCTGCTGCTGTCCTCCCTCTCCAGGGTGGAGACAGGGAGACAGCTGCTGCCGCCAACAGCTGAAGGGGGCCCCTGGGGGGCCCCCTCCTGCAGGAGACAGTCTTCAGAGCCCAGAGGGGAACACAGATCTCGTGTCTCTTGCTGTTGCTGCTGCTGCTGCTGTTGCTGCTGCTGTTGTTGTTGCTGCTGTTGTTGCTGCTGATGGCGGTGTATTACTACCCCCTGATGTGTCACCTGCAGCCTCAGCTGCTGCTTATCTTGCACCAGCTGCTCCTGTTGCTGTTGCTGCTGCTGCTGCTGCTGCTGCTGCTTTCGAGGCACCGTAGATGTAGCTGCTGGTCCTTTCTCCTGTTGCTGCGGTGGACGCGTTCGTATGCTGCTGCTGCTCCTGCTGCTGAAACTTTTGTCGCTGCTGGTGTTGCTGCTACTGCTGCTGCGGTTGCTGCTGTTGCGGCTTCTGCTGCTGCTGTTGCTGCTGCTGCTGCTGATGTAGATGTTGCTGCTGTGTTGCTGCAGCTCTGGGTGACGAGCGCGTTGTGTTATTGCC